CGCCCTCTCCACAGAACCTCACTGAAATGTGCACAGATAAATCCTTGGCAAGGCTGGCACAGTACGTGAATGGCAAAGCTCAGCGAATTTGGCAAAGTTGTGGAGCCTTGGAAAAGGCCCCCAGGCAGCTGCCCCTTTGGGCTACAGGCAGAATCAAACCAAATGGCTCATTTTGCACAAACCCACCTAGTTTCCGTTTAGCTGGCATGGGAGCCAGGCCTAGGAGCTGTCAGAACTGTGCCCCTGGCCCCGGGAATACTGCTGAGGTAGCTGGGGAAGGGGCAAGGCCAGGGACTACGTGTGGGCCAGGGAGGACAGGACGGGAGACAGGGCTATGGCCAAAGGCAGGGGGCGGCCAAAAGCTGACCCAGGACCTCAGTGAGCGCCCTGTTGCTCTCTCCCTGAAACACACCCACTTCCTGGCCCTGGATGCTGAGCACAGGCTGGGCCAGGGAGGCTATGCAATCACCTCAGGATTTCAGAGGGTTGGGAGTTTGAGCAGCCGCCCTGGGGAGCCCAGGGCCCAGCTGTGCTGCCTCTCTCCCAGGCCCTCCCCCTCAGCTGCCTGCCTCTCCCACCCCTGCTGGCTCCGGATCAGCTCTACCTGTAAAAGCAAGGCTGCAATTCTCCAGCTTTTGTATTCCTTATAAGGCGCTGGCATCAGCAGCTCAATTCTTTTCCAACCCACTTAATTTTAAGAATAGACACTAGTAAAACTTATTCACCCCCTCCCTGCTGGCGGTGGGGGAAGGGCCCTCAGCACTGGCAGCATCTCCCCAGGATGTGCTGGGTTCCCCCAAGTACCCCCTGCACCTCCAGAATTCCTGGAGCTGCTGCAGACTCCGAGCAACCCTGTGCCCTACAAAGGGGAAACTGAGTCCCAGGGAAATGCAACGACTTACTCAGCTTGATCAATAAGCTAGTGGCAAAGCTGGGACTTGAGAAGGGGACCAAGGTTTTCAGACCAGTGTCTCAGCCAGGGGCCCTCAGGGACTGTGTCCTGAAGAGGAAGTGGGCCAGGATGCCCGGTGGTTGAAGATGCCCGGTGGCTCCCAGTGCAGCCCAGCACAGATGGAAAAGACCTGCTCTGTGCCTAGGCGCTTGCACAGGCCAGCCCCCGAGCAGCGGGATAACGAGGACTCCCTGGGCTGACAGCCACCCCGACAGCAATGCCTTGCTCAGGGCCTGTTGGGGGTGAGGGGTTGATTCCAGCAGCCTGGCTCGGGGTTGGAGAGGTGTCAGGACGAGCCTGGAGAAATGTCCTGGTGGAGCCTCAGATCAGGGCACAGATCAGGCCACCAAGTGGTGGAATCCAGACTCCACGCACTGAAGCTCCTCTCTTGGCAGCAATCAACGGAGTACGATGAGCAAAGAAGAGAAAAACAAGCCCATTGCTCCCTCCCTCCCTCCATTAAGGTCATGCCCTCAGGATGCCAGGCTGGTAGTGGAGGGTGGGGCCACATCCAGCCTGCTGCCAGCCTTGTGCTGGGAGGGGCTGACGAGGAGGCTTCTGGCCCCCAGAAGGCAGCGGGCCTTCAAGTTAAATGGGGTAACACATGGTCATGTTGGCTGCCAAACATTCTCCGAATTGCAGTGACCATGTTTAAGATGCTTTTTACCATGAGGCCCTGAGCAAGGCATTGACTGCATGGCCTCAGCGTCCTCATCCTGCTGCGGGGGTGGGATAAACTCAGAACCTGCGGGTGGCCCCATGGCTCCTTCCCTTCCTGTTGGATGGACCAACGGCCTCTCCCTAAAACATCCTCTCATCATCCCCGCCACTGAGGTCAGGGGGCTCCCCAGGCAGATCTTCCTGGGGCTCTGCAGCTGTGAGTGGACTCAGAAGGCCTCTACAGGACTCCTGGCTTTGGGGACCCGGCACCAAGCTTCCTCCCACTACCCCAGCCCCCAGGCAACCTTCTGTTGAAGCCTCAGTTAAGCAACTCACTGTCCCTCCCAGACTTGCCAGCCTCTGCCTGCAGCAGCCCTGCCCACCCCTGCAAGCCCAGGTCCTCCCACCGGACACCCATCTCCCCCCAGGCCTGACCTCTGCCTGGAGCCCTCACCCAGCCCTGCCACCTTCAATCCACACAGCAGTTGTAGCGCCCACTGATGTGAGCAAACGAAGTCCCCTGAGCGTCACCTTCCCAGGGCAGCCGGGGACCCGGACGAGCTCTCTCACAGGCAGTCAAGGCAGCAGAGGCTGCCAGCTATTGGCAGGAAGAGGGGCATCCGTCCGGCGGGTGGGACAGACTCCCAGCCACATCCCTGCTGCCTCCAAACAGACCTGCAGACTTACCAGAGCCTCCGAGAATGTGTTACCGAATGAAACCCATCCAACTACCAACACAAGACATTCTGGAACATTCCAAACAGCAGCAAGGGCGTGCCTGCTCACGGAGCTCGGGCCCTCAGCTTAGGGTCCAGCCAGATACCAAGTGGCAGGGCCAAGGAAGGTGGGGATCAGTTCCCGGGGCCCTGAGTCTGGCCCGGGCCCCACGGAACAGCCCGTGCTCTTAGGAACCACCTTGCTGACTGTCAGTGGCACATCTCAGAGAGGCAGAAAGAACTCTGTAGGGAGAATTCTAGCCTAAACCACCCTCTGTAACAAAATAAATTCTGCTCTTGTGGAAACTTAACCATGCCTATTGGAACTCATCATAGGCCCGGCAGATCTAGCCTTCCCTAAAACCGTTTAAGGCACTTGAATGGCTTATTAACACTACCTGGAATGGTTTTTATTTCAATCTTGATTTAAGAAAAAAATTCAGTAATACTGCAAAAGAAGTTTCCCCTAAAAAACCAACAACAACCAATACGTAAGTTTCTAAGGATTAAAATAAATGCTAAGCTCTGCTTAAGTTATTTGACACAACAGGTCACTTTGGCACTGACAGAACAAAGACAAAACCGGAAATACTGCTTCTGAACTAGACTTTTCCCTGGAAAACAACAACAACACAAAAGACGAGTGCAGCATCTCTGAGCTTCCCCTGCCCCTTCGGGGGACGAGAGGGACCACTGAGGCCAGGGCCACACGTGTCCCGGCTGCCTTGACGCAGGCGGGCGACCACTGCAGATGCAATCCTAGATCCTCTCCTGTCTGGGAAGCGAGCTCGGCCAGCTGAGCCCAGCCAGGTGCGTCTGCCGACGCGAGCCCTCCCAGCTGTGGCCTATGAGGAATGGAGGAAAAAACCTGTGCTGGGTGCCCAGGACGCGCTTGCAAAGACCCACGGCTCTGGGTCTGCCCAAGAGCCCCCCGCAGCGCGCCACTGCCCCGCACACATGCCGGTGTCTTTGGTCTGGCTGCAGCCAGTGACTGCGGCCTCTGGTTCCACCCCCACCTCGTGGGGATCAAGAGCCAGTCCAGTTCCCAGGTCATCTTCTCTCTGGCAAGGCTTCCTCTGTCCCACTGCCTGTCACGAGCAAGGAGTGATACCCACGCCCCATGCAGTGCCACAGCCACCAGGAGGGGCTGATGCAAGCAGCACAGGGGCTCAGGGATCCCAGGGAAAAGCACTGCTTGGGTGGTGCCGCCTGCCCACCCCTGCCTATTGGGTCCTTGGCATCTGAGGGGAAGGGTCATAGGGTGGGGACCACCGGAGCCCTGGGCCTCCTAGCTTCTCCATGGGGTGTTGTTCTCTGGCTCTGAGAGGGCAGAGGGCAAGTCCTGGCTTCTCCTGTCAGCCTGGGATTCCCCGGCCCCCTGGGCCCACCCCTCCAGCAGGTCTCGGGGGTCCCTGAGGAAGACCACCATGACCGTGATGTTGTCATGGGAGCCCCGCTCCCTGGCTGCAGCCACCAGCTCCTCGGCGACATGCAGCCCGCTGCCCCGCTGCCTGGCCAGGTGGCTTTGCACAAGGCCGGCCACCTCCTGGTGGGAGACGACGTCAAAGAAGCCATCACAGGCCAGCAGCAGGTAGTCCTCAGAGCCGGTCAGCTCCCGGGAGGCCACGTCTGCCTCTCCAGACACGTAGGGCTTCTGGAAGACATCCCCTGGGCATGGGAGAGAAGTGCCTGGAGTCAGAGGATTGGCTGTCCATCTTGCCAGGCCTGGCCGCTCTGGCTATCCCACGCTCACAGGCAAGGACACGGGGTGAAAAGATCACGTCCCACGGAGGGGATGTAACAGGTTTATTCTGGTGTTCCTCGGGGAAGAATCAGAACCCAGCAGGGCCAGAGTTCAGCTCCAACACACAGCTTTCTCACTCTCCCTCCCCGGGCAGCGGGGCCCAGAGGGGGCGGCCCAGGACATCGCCTGGGCTATGGCCCTGGCTCTCCTGAGCTCCCGACAGCTCCCCTCAGACACCGGACAGGCACTCAACTGAGCTCGCTCCTCCTCCCCCACACCTGCTCCTCCAGTCTCCTCAGCTTGGAAAACAGCACCAGAATCTGAGGGTTCCCTCTGATTCTCACACCCCACATCTAAGCTGTTAGCAGGTCCTACTGGCTTTACCTTCAAAATGCAGCTCCAACTCAACTCCCCTCCCCTCCCCTCCCCTCCCCTCCTCTCTCCTCCTGGTTTGGACAGCTCACACCTCACCCAGCCCCCTCAGAGCTTCCTGCCGGCCTCTCCTTCTGCTCTTGGCCTGACAGTCACTTGCCCAAGGAGCGTGAACTAGACCCCGTCGTCCCTTATGCCCAGCTTCCCAGAACTCCCCTCTCCTTGCAAGGGAGGCCTGCCCCACCTCCCTGCCCTGGTATGTCCAGAGACGCAAGGGCAGAAGCCACAAGGAGAAGGGCGATAAAGAAGGCAACACGTGTGGCAAGAGGGGGATGTTTCAGGAGGCTGGAGGGACAGAGGTCCCATCACAGGGCTTAGCAGGAAGGAGGTGACTCCTAAGTATCTGAAGAAGAGACATGGCTGTCGAGCCCCAGAGTGAGGCCTGGCAGCGACAGGCTGCTGAGAAAATAGAATGAGGTGGGTGGGGGAAGCTTATACTTCTGATTTTAAAAGAATCATCAGCATGAATAGGTGGGGGGCGGGTAAATCTCACTGATGGAATATTTAAAACTTATCTCCCAGCTAACCAAGGGGAGCAGGGCCAAGATTTTTCTGAGGAAGTGTTTTAACAAAGAGATAATGACACATAACTCGAACCGCAGTTCTCTGTGCAAGAAGTCTGACAGTGACTTTCCCATCTCCCTTCAATCTGATTGACAGCACAGCCTTATCAACGGCAGGCACCTTCCCAGCACATGACACTGCCGCCCCAGCAGCTGGGCCCAGAGGCCTAGCCCTGGGCGGCCTTTCTCTCGCCCCTCGCCTCCTTACCGATGGCTCTGGAGACGGCCAGGGTCCCGTTGACTCTCCAGCAGTCCATGTACGACACGAAGCCACCCAGCGCTTCGATGCGCTCCTTCTCGTCCTGCGGAAGACAGCCAGAGTGGGGGCCTCGGCGCTCCCACGGGCCGGGCATCCGGCACTGCCAGCCGGGAGGGGGTGAGCTGGTTTCTAAGACAGCGCTGGGAGCCACAGCTCTTGAAAGATGCCCAAATGAGGCATTAGTAACACAGTGAGAAATTATAAAGAACCTCATCGTCCTCCAGTTGCAGGAATGGCTAACTAGGTTACGGTGCGAATACCGACAGGCCACTCACAGCCACCGACCAACAGTCTGTCCCTGAGCAGCGTTTCGGGGCCAGGGAGATGCTCACGAGGCAACAGAAAGAGCGAGAGCCCAGGGTCAGACGGCAGGCCCCGCGGCTGTCTCACTTTTCAGGCAGGACACTGTCCCTTCTCTGTAAGCTGCTGGGAGGACACCAAGCGTGTGTGACATGCGGCCATCTGGCAGGGCTGGATGAAACCTGAACCAGGCCCTGGAAAGCCCTGTGGCCCTGGGTCCTCATCCTTCTCCTCCACCCACAGACGCTGTCCGGCTCCCCAAGGGACCGTGGTGCTCCAGGCCACAGAGGACAGGACAGAGGCCCAGTCCAGCCATGAGTCCTGAAACTTCTTTGGTTCCATAAATTCCCCAGGAAGGAGGTTTCCAGCCCTGAGCCTATTGCCTGGAGGTGGTAACAACAGTGTCTGCTGTTGGATGAGCCTGAGGCTTGGAAGGGGTGGAGCCAGGCCCAAGCACGGACATCTGTCCTTGCCCTTCGCCATGCTCCACTCTGCTGAGCTCAGGCAGTGTCTGGGAAATGCCGCCTGCAGAAAGCGCCCGGCGGGCCTCAGAGGAGGTGCTCGACTCCGAGCTTACGTGGGTGCAGCCGGTGGGTGCAGAACCGGGACCTCAGGCATAGGTTTGTATCTAGACCGAACTTGGGCCACATGTCACCGGGCTGCTTGTCTTGGGGTGGGAAGGTCCACCGGAGAGCAGGCACTGGAGGCCCCGGAGTGACAGAGAATACCTGCCCTTTCCTGGCTGTGTGCTTTGGGCAAGTTACTTAACCTCTCTGGGCTTCAGTTCCCTCCTCTATACAATGGGGAGAGCATATGCGGGATGCTGAGCACAGGCTGTGAGGCTAAGGAACGCTGTCATTCCTGGCTGTTACGCAGTGCTTTCTACAAGGCACAAAAGAAAAGACAGTTCCACACAATTACATAAAACCAACACTTCCACACGGAAAAGCCCATAAAGAAAGACAAAGGCATTTGCCAATCGCTGCACAGATAGGGAGCCAACCTCCCTAAAGTATATAAGATGCCTACAGATCGATAAGAAAAGAGCAACAGTTCAGGACAAAAATGGGCAAAGACAGGAAAGGTGACGGAAATGATCTTCAGCCTTGAAAAGACGCTTAAGCTGGTTCCCGTAACACAAATGCAAAGTAAAGGAAGGCCTCTCACCTCTCAGACCACAGGACCCCGCACAGCCTGAGGGGGCAGTTTGCAAATCTGTACACTCTGACCCAGCTATTGCACTTCTGGGGACGTGCCCTTTAGACGTCCCTGACCCTGAACAAGGAAATGCTGTCCTAAGCTATCGATGGCTGCCTTGCTTCTAGTACCAAAAGACTGAAAAAAACCCATGTCCATCGAGGAGGGACGGAAATGAATGGGACTCCACCAGCCCTGGGAGAGGGTGGGAGCGCTTCATGTGTATGTACTGACGTGGAACACCCACCAGGCGCATGAGTAGGTGAAAAAGCCAGTGCAGAGCAGCATGTGGGGCCTAGAGGCACCCTGAGATGTGCGAACTCTCGCTCTCCCGCCTCAGGAGACAGAACGGACACTTCGGTGAGATATGGTCTGAGTAGGAATAGTCATCCTTGCTTCCAGGTGAAAACCCTGAAGCTCAGGTGGGTGAGTGACCTCAGGGTCTCAGCGTAGCTTCCGCCTAAGGAAGCCCAGCATCACCTCCTCCTGCCCTCATTCCCAGAGCCCAGGTGGGCCGCTCCTTGTCTGCATGCATGACAAGACCCTGCACATGGACCCCACTTCTGGCTGCCTGCTGGGCTCATAGCCCAGCTCTCCCCTGCAGCTCTGGGCTTCGTGTCGCTGTGACACTGGCTGTCCGTGTCCTGAGCTTTAGGGGACCCCTGGCCACCAGAGTCAGACAGGGGAGCTCTCCCTGTGGAGGGGTGCCAAGGGTTTCCTGGGAAGACGGCCCAAGGTCCCGTTTACTTCCTACTCTGTCCCAGCAATGCCTGGCCAGGGCTCCCAGGGTGTGGGTGGAGGGAGCCCCTCACCTGTCGCTCGGGTTTATGTGGCTCCATCATCTTCACCACCTGTCCCTGCTGCACCAGGATGACCTGGGAGTCCCCCAGCCAGGCGATGTGCAGGGTCCTTCCCGTGATGAGTGCACACACGCCTGTGGTTCCACTTTGCAGCCGCTGTGGGAAGAGAAGGCCGAGCGGGTGAGGGTGGGCCAGGCACCCGCCCCGCAGGCACACGCAGTCCGACGGAAGAACTGTCGGAGGCGTGCTCAGAGAGAGGGAAGGGCTGCCGATGCACGACGGCACCGTGATCATTTCCATTCTGTGCGCAGAGCGTCTGATGATGGTGCAGCCCCCACCCCAAATCTCCTCACCAGCTGTGTCAACTGGGGCAGGTCAACCGGGCCTCAGCTTCCCCAAGTCTAAAATGGACATATCTTTGTATCGACCCCACAGGCTGCGGGAGAACACACTGAAGAGAACACAGGTAAGGCGCAGCGTTGGGTTGAGGGGAGGACGGGTTCTTCCTTCTTTCAGAAACAGATGCCTCATCCCTGTGTGGCTCTAACTCCCGAGGAAAGAGCACTCCCAGCGCACCGGCTCCTGCTGAGACCCTGCCCCGGAGAGCAAGGGCACGTGTGGCTGCATATTAATCACGAGTTTTGTTTTCTGTATTTTACTTTTCTTAAATATATTTTTATTGATTTCAGAGAGGAAGGGAGAGGGAGAGATAGAAGCATCAATGATGAGAACCACTGATTGGCTGCCTCCTGCACGCCCCACACTGGGGATCAAGCCCACAACCCAGGCACGTGCCCTGACCGGGAATCGAACCCTGACCTCCTGGTTCAGAGGTCAACGCTCAACCACTGAGCCACGCTGGCCGGGTTGTTTTCTGTATTTTATGATGATTTATACTTTATGATGATTGTGTTTTCTGTATTTTATGATCATTTGTATTGGCCTTGCTAATCCTGGAGAGAATGCCCCACTCCCCACCCCCTGGGCCAGCTAATTCCTAAAGATATCAAACGTCTCCCCCAAGAGACCCTTTCATGCACAAGCCAGTGGGTCAGGAGCCCACGTCTTCAACCACTTGCTCTGCCTCTCACGCTGGGCCAGTGTTTCGCTGGCTCCGATAGCTGGGGACTGCCCCTGCGGCCCAGGGCCTGTAGAGGTGATTCCAACTATCCAGTCCTAGGCTTGCTGTGACTTGCTGGCCCTGCCTCACCCATGCTCCCTGCAGAGGCCACAGTGGAGACCCTGGCCAGGCTCTCCTCTCTCCCTCTGCTTCCTGACCCCCGTGGTGCTTCCCCTGTGGCACTGTGTGGCATGGTGCATCCTCGTGGGAACTGTAAGTAACGAACTCCTCTAAGTAATAAACTCTTCTTTCAGGACAACTGTCCGTCATTCCACCATGCTTGAGTAAAACAAAATCCTGGGCCCTAGCCGGTTTGGTTCAGTGATTAGAGCATTGGCCCACGGACTGAAGGGTCCCAGGTTAGATTCCGATCAAGGGCACAGTCAAGGGCAAGTACCTCAGTTGAAGGTTCAATCCCTGGTCCCGGTTGCTTGGGGCGTGTGTGGGAGGCAACCAATCAAAGTGTCTCTCTCACATCGATGTTTCTCTCTCCCACTTCCTTTCACTCTCTCTAAAAAAATCTTTGGCCCTAACCAGTTTGGCTCAGTGGATAGAGCGTCGGCCTGTGGACTGAAGGGTCCCAGGTTCGATCCTGGCCAAGGGCATGTACCTTGGTTGCAGGCGCATCCCCAGTGGGGGGGGTGCAGGAGGCAGCTGATCGATGTTTCTAACTCTCTATCCCTCTCCCTTCCTCTCTGTAAAAAATCAATAAAATATATATTAAAAAAATATATGTGAATAAATAATCTGATTTACAGAATGAACTGGTGATTATAATGAATCAGGGACATAGAAAGGGAATGGACTGACTATTCTTGGCGGGGAAAGGGGAATGGGAGATGCGGGAAGGTGAGGATTATTAAAAATAATAATAATAAATAAAATAAATAAATAAAACAAAACAAAACCCCGAGCACATCTTAACACTGCCGGCCTGTCTTCCCCACGAGGCTGCACGCCCTCCGCAGTGGGGCAGGTACGGCAGCAGGGCCAGGCTGCACCAGCGCAAGCTTCATGTTGCTTCTTTTCAAATTAAAAACAAGCCCCGTTGGCTGTAAGAACAAAATGAGGTGACTGCCAGCAGCATTTAGTGAGGACTTTCCAGCACCACTAAACTTCTATCCCTCCGCAGGGCTGGGCCTCTCCAAAGCTAATGGCTCCTAGCCCCCCACCGCACAGGACTGGTCACCTGTCCTCACCTCTCGCTTGGCTTTCCAGAGGAACATCTCATCGGTGCGCCGGAAAGCTTCTCTGAGGGCTCCCTCGGGGTGTGTGGGCAGCTCCGGCTGGCGAGCAGCATTGGCGTGTACATGCACAGCGGCGTACCTCGCGGCATCCACTCCTCCGTGACCGTCAAACACTGCAAAGTAGGCGCGATCCACGGGGTCCTGGTTGGGAAAGCAGCGGGAGTTACCGCCCTGCTGGCCTCATGCCTGGCCGAGGCTGTGACCCAGCCAAAGGCTCTCATCAGGTGCTGGCTGGAGGGGTCAGGAGCTGACTGGAAGGGTCAGGCGCTGACTGGAGGGGTCAGGCGCTGACTGGAGGGGTCAGGAGCTGACTGGAAGGGTCAGACGCTGGCTGGAGGGGTCAGGCGCTGGCTGGAAGGGCTTTGAGAGATGTCCAGCACCTCGGCCTGCAGACGGAAGCTGTAGGCATCGCTCCTGCCTCGGTTCTGGTGGGAAGCTCTGCTCGGCACCCAGGGTGGTTTCCCACCCCCACGCCCCTGTGCAAGCCCTCCTAGACTGTCCTGATTGGGGACACTGGCCTCATGAGCCGCCCTGGGGCCCCGGAGGTGGAGCCCTGGCGGTGGAGCACTCACGGACAGGCCAAAGAGCTGGTTGAAGGCAGGAAGGCACACATGCCGGTCCTCCATCCTGCGGCGAGTGTTCCGGATGGCATGAATGGAGACCAGCCACTGCCGCTGCGGAGCCCGGGCAGTCGAGGGCACCTGCTTCTGCCACTGGCTGCATACGTCCCAGAGCCGGTTGAAGAAGCTCAGCGCCAGGCCCTTGGCATCCAGCACTGATGGGTAAGATGGAGGGCTGTTAGGAAGCACCAACGCAGGCCAGCCGACGCTCTGCTCGCTCTCCCTGCCCCCCTTCCTGTGGCCTCTGCAGCTCTCCAGACAGCCCCATCACAGGCCTGCACAGGCCTGTCCAGCCCATCACCTCCGGGCACACAGGTGTGATAACCTGTGTCATCAGCAGCGAGAAGTGTCTGGGTTGGCCCCATGGTGGAACACTTCCACTCATGGAGCCCCCCACCCAAGGAAATAGCCAGAAATGCAGGTGATTTAAGGGCAAAGTACAGAATCACTTATAATTGTGCACTAATTAGAAACAATATATATTCATGACGGAGTAAATTATGGTCTGTTCTCTTGGTGAGTTAAGCTGCTATTAAAAATGATTTTTGCAAATTAACATGTAATTGCCATTGACCCAGCGACTGCACCCCCGGGCATTGGTCCCAGAGACATTAAGACTATGTTCACACACAACTTGTGCCTGACTGCTCACTGCTCATAGCAGCTTTACATGTGACAGGTGAAAACCGATTCGGCCCTGGTGTCCTTCCAGCGTGAACAGCTGAACAAACCTGGGTACCTCATGCCACGGAACACCGCTCGGCAGGAGGAAGGAAGGAGCTACCGACACACACACAGAAGCCTGGATGAATCGCCAAGGAGTTACGCTGAATGAGAAAAGCCAATCCTCAAAAGGTACACACTGTGTGATTCCATTTATGTGCATTCTTGAAATGATAAAATTATAGAAATAGAGAAGATTAGTGGTTGTCAGGGGTTGTGGAGGGGGGTGTTAGGGTGGCATACATGGGAACACGAGGGAGTCTGGTGGGATGACATTTCAGTCGTTTTGTAAAGACGTTACCATTGGGAGGAACTGGGTAAAGGATGCCTGGGATCCTGATGTGTTATTTCTTATAACTGCATGTGAGGCTATGGTTCTCTCAAATAAAATTTAATTTAAAAAAAAAAAACACACACACACACACCAAAAAAGCTAAAGGGTAAAACAAAAATGGACTTTCACAGAGTTTGTAAAGCATGTAAAATGCTTATGTCATGATACTCAGAAAAAAACACAGATATTAAGGAAAATGTTGTGAAAAAAGGAGGACAGAAAATTCCATATCGTGAGTACGTGAAAAAAGTCTTCTACCACCTGAACCCAGAAATTAAAGGCAGGGAAGGCACACAGCCAATGCCAGCAGAGGCCGACTATGGGTGGTGGTTTATGGGTGATGCGTTTTCTTAAACTTTCACAGAGTTTGTAAAGCATGTAAAATGCTTATGTCATGATACTCAGAAAAAAACACTGATATTAAGGAAAATGTTGTGAAAATAGGAGGATAGCCAGAACCGGTTTGGCTCAGTGGATAGAGCGTCGGCCTGCGGACTGAAAGGTCCCAGGTTCGATTCCGGTCAAGGGCATGTACCTGGGTTGCGGGCACATCCCCAGTATAGGAGGTGTGCAGGAGGCAGCTGATCGATGTTTCTCTCTCATCGATGTTTCTAACTCTCTATCTCTCTCCCTTCCTCTCTGTAAAAAATCAATAAAATATATTTAGAAAAAAAGAAAAAAGAAAAAAGGAGGATAGAAAATTCCATATCGTGAGTACGTGAAAAAGTCTTCTACCACCTGAACCCAGAAATAAAAGGCAGGGAAGGCACACAGCCAATGCCAGCAGAGGCCGACTATAGGGGGTGGTTTATGGGTGATGCGTTTTCTTAAGTCTTAAGTACACGCTCTATCCACTGAGCCAAACCGGTGAGGGCTTAAGTACATCTTTTTAGTGCTTTCCCAATTATCATTGCAAGTGTTAGTCCCAGGTGATGGCTTTCAAATACATCTATAAATGCTTCGAAACGACTCCCTTCCAGAGTGGGCAGAGCTCAGTTCCCTCCCCCTGAGTGTGTAACTTAGTGACCTGCTTCTGATGAAGATGATAAAACCAAAGTGACCATGGTGGCTTCAGACCCTAGGTCCTAAGAGGCACTGCAGCTTCCACCCTGTGTGCCCTGTCTTCCTCACTGTCACTCTCTCTGCCTCTCTCTGTCTCCCTTGTGAATCACTGGCTCGGAGGGAAGCCAGCTGCCAGGACACGAGGATGCTCAAGCAGCCCTGTGGCGAGTCCACATGGCATGGAACTGAGACCTCCTGCCTACAGCTGTGAGACTGAACCACCCTAGAAGCAGAGCCTCTGCCCGCACTGGCCTTCGTCCGACCTCGTGAGAGACCCTGGGCAAGAACCACCAGCTCAGTTATTCCCAAATTCCAGACCCACAGAAACTATGGGATAATAACTGTCTATTGTTTGAAGTCACTAGTTTTGGAGCAATGTTATGCAGCCACAGGTAACAGCACCTCCAATATAGATTTTAAAACAAAAATTCTAATCCTACCTAAGCCTGGCTCTAAAGAAAAAATGAACAAGGAGCAGGTCCAAAGAGAACCTGAGGTGCTTCACCTCCGAGACTCAGTTCATTCTGCTACACAAATCCCTCCTGACACCCCTGCTGGCCCAGGGGCTGGGGACAGGCACAGCTAAGAGGGTGGCCCCAGGGCCAGTAACAGGAAACAGGGCAGCCTCAGGAGTGTCACAGGCCACGAAGGATGTGGGGAGCTGGGGCAGAAACAGCTCGTGCCTGAAGGCAGTGGCTACAGAAGAAAAGAAGAAGGGCTGAGGCCAGGGGACTACATGGCCGAGGAAAGCCACACATTGGGGGTGCCTAGAATGGGCCACTGCCACCCCCCCCCCCGGAACGTGGTGGCCACTCAGGCGTTTGTCAAGAACTGGGTTGTATCAGGTCTGAAACACCCGGCCCCCCCCCCCCCCCCAGAACTTGGTGGCCACTCAGGCGTTTGTCGAGAACTGGGTTGTATCAGGTCTGAAACACCCAGGGAGACACAGAGCACCGTTTACGCTCTGGCCTTAGGTCACGCTAGTGTTTTCATCAACGTGTTTAAACTTGAATCTTGGCTCCAGCAAAGGGCAATTACCGATAAGAATGATACGCTGTGGGGAGGTCGCCTGGCCCCCACACTCAGGCTGCTCACAGGACTGCCTGCTCTCCTGGCACCCACGGGGACCGCTCACTGCGGAGGCACAGCGGGTGCTCCCCCTGATCCTGTCGCACAGAGGTCTTGGTCACATCTCTGCCCTTGGGAGATGATTCTCATAACACCCACGGAGAGACCCTAACTAAGCCCCACTCCCATGACAGGGACGGCCGATTCAGGCAGGGACACCCGGCCTGCATGGGGGCAGGAGCCCCCAAGTGGAGGTCTCTGGCGCTGCCAGCCACTGTACTGCTCCTTCCCCGCCAACAGGTGGCGCTGACTTCCCGCCAGAACTCGGGCAAGGCGGGGCCTGCAGGCTTTGCAGAGGACAATGGCTGCCTGTCTCCTGCCTCTGGTGGGGACCAGCGGCGGTTGTGCTGGGATGGCTGAGGGCAGGGAACCTGGGAGAAGAGCAGGGGACCAGGACAGAAGGGCCCGGCACCTACTGCAGGGACAGGCTGTCTGCTTTCCTCTCTTTTCCTGGCCTGTTCCTGGCTCTGCCCTCAGTGCTCCCACTAATGCTGAGACGGTCGGATACTACAGGCATACCTTGTTTTATTATGCTTCGCTTTATTGTGTGCTTGACAGATGTTGCATTTTTTATAAACCGAAGGCAAGATCGCTCCCCAACCCCAGAAAAAGATTATGACTTGCTTTATAGCGGTGGCCTGGAACCGAATCCCCAATATCTCGGAGGTATGCCGGTAATTAAGTGATGTGAGGGAGGTGCTAGTAAAAACACTAAATAAATGAACCAAATCAACACACTGTGCACCTTAAACTTACACCGTGTGACATGTCAATTATATCTCAATTAAAAATTAATAAAATAACACAGTCAGAAAGGAAATGGCAAAGGAAGAAGAATCTGCTGAGGCTCTCGCTACGCCGACAGCCAGGCCCGGCCCCAGAACCCACTCTGTCTTCTGCATCCCGACTGGCCTTCAGCTCTGCCTGCGGCCGGAGCTGCACCTTTCACCAGAAAGCGTGGAGCCACCGAGAGCTGGCACCCAGCCTGGCCCACCGCACAGCCCGCCACAGGCCATGGCCCAGCAACCCTTGCTTGCTGTAGTTCTGGTCTGACGCGAACGGATACTTTGGTGAAATGTGATAGGAAGGAATGATGGGAAAATGAAAGGAAGACATGCAAAACTAGAGCCCGCCTCTGCAGAAGGCTCGCTCTGTTTCTGGGTCGCTCTTACTGCATGGCTTGGGCCGCCCCGCTGACCGCTGTCCCGGAGCAGGCTGCCTCCCCAAGCTCTCACGGGAACCCACTGCGTCTCCACCTGACAGGGTCCAGTCAGCCCAGGCCAGGGGCCAAGCTCTGGCATTTTCTCTCCGCCGGACATCAAGGCTGCCCCTGGGAACCACTCCCACGTCACCGCAGGGCGACTGACGTTGGTGAGGCAGAACAGAAGCGGGGCGAGAAGCGGGACCTTGGTGTCCTCCCTTGTAACACGGCCACACGTCGTCCACTCCTGGCTGTTCCGAAGCCCGTGCTGCCGTCAGGCTGCGAGTGCTTTCTCTGCATCCTGATGCCCCCGCCCCGTCCGAGCACACCCACACGGCTGCCCCTTCGAGGCTCTCAGCCACGTGCTGCCACACCGCCTTCCCACCAGCAAACGGGAAGGGCTGGAGGCCAGGTGAGCCCTGCCTTCTCCCACTCTGGTGCTCGCCGGCAGCCTGTCTCTCGTCTGGCTGGCAAGCCAGTTGCCTGCTAAGCCTGGGGTCCCGATAAAGAAGAGAACTCACAGGTCACAGGGGCCTTCTCCTCCTCCACTTCCGCGCTGTCCTCCTCCTCCTGCCTGGGCAGCTTCCTGAATTCGGAAAGGTCTGTCTGCAGCAGCTGGGAAACGGCTTCATGGGCCAGAGATGCAGCAAGTGGTGGCGGAGCGTTCCTGGGACGGGAAAGAAGTGAACTGGGCTGGCTCCTCGGCAGAAGCCAACATCAGAGGGAGCCCTCAGGACCCTTCCACCCAGGGAGGCCCCTCTGGAGGTAGCAATGACTACTTGCACCCCAACCCGGGGCCACACGAGCAGGTCAAGCTCTTGTCCTTGGGGAGCCGACGTCCACATGACGCCGCCATTTCCTGGGGCCTGTGCTGCTCCAGACGTGGGCTGGGGCTGGTGGGGCGGGGGTGTCACAGACTTATGGGCGGTGTCCACTGGCCTCCATGGCCAGGCCAGACAAACTGTCCAACGTCCAGCCTGATGACAGGTGCCTGGTCACCAATACCAGCTGGGGACCTCTGGGAGTTGGGGAGCGTATGGGTTGAATTGTGCCCTTCAAATTCATATATCGAGTTCGTAATCCCCAGTGCCTCAGAATGTGATCTTGTTTGGAAATAAGCTGGTTGCAGATATAATTAGTTAAGATGAGGTCACCCTGGAGTAGGATGGGCCCCTAATCCCATAACATTGGTGTCCTTATCGAAAGGGGAAATTCGGACATAGACACACACACACACACACACAGACACACACACACGCACGCACGCGCGCGCGCGCGCACACACACAGAATGCTGTGAGGATGAAGGCAGGGACTGGAGTGATGAACCAACAAGCCAAGGGCGGCCAACAACCACCAGAAGGAACCAGCCTTGCTGGCACCTTGATCCTGGACTGCCAGCCTCCAGAACTGAGACAATACATTTCTGTTGGTGAAGGCGCCACGCCTGTGGTCCTTCATCACGGCCACCCCAGAACACAGATCTAGGGAGCGCGGGACCCTTGGGTTGTGCTCGGAAGGCTGGGCTGTGCGTGGCCCAAGGGGTCCCTGGACCATCAGAGCAGCTGGTACCAGGGGAGGCTGGGGGTAGGGAGGCAGGTGTCAGAAAATGGGGAGCCATGACCTGGTGGGCTTGGAAGAGGACGTGACAGGATGGGACAGGCTTCTCTCTGGCCTCCCCCTTCAGGGTGGACTGAAGGGTAAATGCTGCAAGGAGGCCAAGGCCCTCGCCGAACAGCACCTGGCGGTGGACGGAGGGGACAGAGCAGGCATTGAACAGGGGACTGGACAGGTTCCTATCCACAGTGGGTCTCCGGTTTGGCTGAGGTCAAGAGGCCTGGGGCCGGTGGGCATGAGGTCTGACCTGGAGATGGGGCCTCTAACTGAATGGGGGGAGGGCTCGAGCCTGAAGGAGCGCGCCTGGGCAGACAGCCGCTGGAGGGCCGGGGGAGCTGGAGAGGTGGCTGTCAGGGCCGTGGAGGAACAGTTCTGGGAAGCAAGACTTGCTGAGTGCTCCGAAGATCCCAGCCAGGCCACCCAGAGCAGAACTGCGGGGTCGGCGTGGGCAGGAGTGGGGAAGCAGATGGAGGGAGGAGACGGGACTTGGAGCTCAGGAGAAGAGGGACAGTAAGTGGCAGCTCCTAGGAAGCCGTGGGGATGAAGAGACGAGGCCACAAGTACACTCTCCCATGCCTCGCTCGCCTGCCCGCCCAGCCTCCAGCCTTGGGGCCAGCTCCCACACCATGTTCCTGGGAAGCCCTTCCTGGCTCCCCCAGGCACAGGGGTCACTACCCCTGGTACCCCACAGCCTTAAGAATACATCTTGTCCTAGCCGGTGCTCAGTGGTTAGAGCATCAGCCCAGGGACTGAGGGGTCCTGGGTTCGATTCCAGTCAAGGGCACGTACCTTGGTTGCAGGTTCGATCCCCTGGCCCCATTTGGGGCACATGCAGGAGGCAACCAATAGATGTTTCTCATATAGGTCTCTCTCTCTCTCTCTCTCTCTCCCAGCCTTCCACTCTCTCTAAAAATCAATGGGAAAAACAATCCTTGGGTGAAGATTAACGAAACAAAGTAAAGAATATATCCTGACCCCAGAATCTGCCTCCTCACCAGTGGGAGCCCCTTGCAGGCTGGAGGACGTGTGTTCACCCACCCCCATGCCTTTCCCTGAGGACTGGGGAGAGCCCCTTGCAGGCTGGAGGACGTGTGTTCACCCACCTGTGCCTTTCCCTGAGGACTGGGGCCCCGGTCCAGGGTGGGCGGCCTGTGGTTCTCTGCTGGGCTGACAACACTGGGCTTCACCAGAGGGCAAGGACCTCCCACAGCCTGGGGGACGGGTCATGTCCCTTTGGGGCTAGGCATCTGTGGTGTCTACAGATGACCTTAGGAATCTACTGGGATGAATGAGAAGGTGGCTCAGGGGGAGAAGCCTCCGGCACTGCCTTTGAAAAACAACCAGTCAAGACATGAGAAATGAGTTCCTCTGCTATTTGGGGATTTCCTGCCCACCACTGGGTTTTCCTTTTTCACAGCAGGGAGAGGGGCGGCTGTTCTCCTGTAGGTCGAGCTGTGTCTTCCTGCAGGCCCTCGAAGTCCCACTGCTGAGGCCACCGAGCTTCCGGCTGTGGGGACCCAGACAATGCCTGGCTTTGGGCCACAGGCCTGCTTCCTGGATGCCCCTCCCGCCTCATCCAGGGGTCCCCGCCCACCACACTCTCAAGGCACTCAGCCCCAGTCAGTCGGGGCTGCTGAAGTGGCCACAAGATGCAGTGAAGGGACCGGTGTGTGTGCAAGGCCCAGGGACCCGACCAACGCTCTAGTCCCGCCCACCTCGGGATTTTCAGGGAGTTTCTAGTTTCGCAGCAGAGACGAAAAGGCACATAAATAACACAGTGTAAGGTACACGCTGCTTGCGGACCTGAGATGTAACATGGAACTGCTAACAACAGGGGAAAGACAGGATATAAATTGTCACACCCTTGAACTCAGTCATCTGATTTCCAGTCAGTGTCGCGAAAGATACCATTTACCATCTGAACAAACTCCATAGACCAATATGCTCGGGGCCCCTTTCACCCAAGAGCCCGCACGCTCGAGCTCCAGGAACGGGAGCCCCGGTGGGATGCTCCTGACAGTCACACGCAGTGTAGACAACATGTAAACACCTGCATCTACACAGGAAAGAACAACTAGAAAAAGACAGATATAACTAAAAATAAACCCACTAAGATGGCTGGAAATATAAGCTCTGTGGCACTGTGGGGGATGCTGGGAGGGACGGGGCCCAGAAGCCGGCCCACAACGGGGGCCTTTGTGCTCAGCGACCCAGGCTCCCACACAGCAGAGCGGGTCGTTCTGCTGGGGGGCCGGGAGGGCGCGTGGGAATGGAGCTGACCTGTCACAGAGGACGCACACGGAGGCCAGGGCCGGGTCCTGATGCTAGGAGTGACGCAGTGACTAGGGACGCTAGGTGTGGTCCCTCAAGGAAGGATGAGGGGTCACAGGCTATGAGCCTCCCCCTCTCCCCCCTGAGATCTGCTGACCTGGTTGTGCTCCCTTTCTGTGGCTCAGCTTCCTCGTCTGTGAAACGGGGGAAGCACCACCACACTGCTCCGTGGGGCAGCGTGGCCCGCATGCTGGGCACATGGCCAGCCCCTGCCTCAACATGGAAGCCCTGGCCAGTCTCCTAGCCCATCCGGCCTCCGTCTCCCCATCTGTAAAACAGGACAGAAATAGGGCCTACTGCCTAGCACCGCCATGAGTTGAGTCGTGCCCTCCAAAGCGATATGCTGAAGTCCCAAGCTGCAGTGGTTCACCATGTGACCTTATTTGGAATCGGGGTCTTTGCCAGTCAGACCGGAGCAGGGTGGGCCCCGCATCCAGTAGGACCGGCATCCTTACAAGAAGAGGATGCCCAGAAAGACAGGGAGAGACGCCACGTGAAGACAGACACACGGGAAGACGCCATGTGACAACGAAAGCCGGATTGGAGCGGTGTGTCTCCAGGCCAAGGCACACGAAGGACTGGATGACACCAGGAGCCAAGAGGAAGGTCTGGAGCAGCTTCTTCCAGACGGCCTTTGCCTGAGAACATTCCCTGCTGACACACTCATCTCTGACGTCCAGCCTCCAGAGCCGAGCAATGCATTTGTGCTGCTCTAAGCCACGCAGCCTGTGGTGCTGTGTCATGGCTGCCCTGGGAAATAACACCGCGCTGTCGCCGGGATTCGCACAGGGAACGTAATCTGCACGGGGAAGGAGGTGTGGGGTAAATGCCAGGCTCCAGGCTGGCTGTGGCACACGCCATGCCCCTTCCTCCTGTCCCGTGCTGTCCCCTCCCGGTGGGTGCACGGCCTACCTGCTGCTCAGGAAGCCCAATGCCAACTCGGCCAGCTCGCCCTCCACCTCCTCCTGGCTCAGCACCGTCCCCGGGATCTTCCATGGCAAAGGGCTCTCTGCGCTCAGTGGGGCTGGGAAGTCGCGGAGAAACTCGTCCAGGAAGCTGGGGGTCTCCTCTGCCATCTGGCTGCTCTGCTCTGGGGCTCCAGAGGCCATGCCCAGATCATCCCGGGGGGCCTGCCGCCAGGGTTCCAGGCAGGCTTCACTCTAGGGAGAGACATGAGGGTCAGCAAAGACAGGACGCATTTGGTGCCCTGCTGTGGGGTCTTCGGGCCCTGCAGTGCTGACTGCCAGGTCTCGGGCACCTCCGAGCATCATACAGCAGGTGCTGTATGCCCCACCCGGGGCTCACAGCAGAAGGGCAGGGCAACCCATTTTCACACACAGCTCAGGGGGCCCGAGTTAAGTGGGAGGCACAACCCTGGCTGGTCTGATCTGAGAGGAATGCGGGAAGCGGCTTCAGGAGACGAAGCCAGGAGCAGCAGCTGCATGGATGTCGGGGAGGAGGCTGCGTTACTGGCAGAGATGGCCAGCATGGCCAGTGGTTGGCAGGAGAGGGCACTAGGGCCAGGCCACTGAGGCAGGTGAATGTGGCAGGTGAGGGGGTTCAACTTGACCCAGGACCTGGGCATCCAGGAGGTGAGGGAGTGATGGCAGCAGGTCTGTGAGCCTAAAAGTGGTACCCAGAGGGGTGGGTGAAGGGTCACCTGTTGGGGAAGGAAGAAAAGGGCCTGGACAGGATGGTGGCAGAGCCCACATGCAGGAGAGAGCTGACCCTGGGCTATTTCAGAAGGCACCAGGCTGCGGGGTGCCCGAGGGTATGGGCAGGGGGGAAGCAGAGGGTTAACCCAGGACAATCAGGGGAGTTTGGGATGCGGTCAAGCCATCAGGAGGAGTCCAGGCGTCCTGAGGCCCAGCTGGAAGACAGGCACAGGCCACAGACCCGACTGTCCCGGGCACAGCTCCAGCCTCAAGGGCTCTTCCTCCCGGCAACTTAGGAAGGCAGAGGGCTTACGAGCTGCCAGCCCCTGTGCGTTACCTGAAACTCTCCTGGGAGCCAGGATGAGCCCCCATTTCACAGATGGGGACACTGAAGCTTGGGGAGGGGCAGACCTTTGCCCAAGAATAGATGATGGGGTCATGGGGGGATTCTGGAGCCCAAGCTCATCATCCCTCCCGTTTCTCACCCCACTTCTCTCACATCTGGAAGGGGTCACTCACCCCCATGTTTCACCCCAATGAGGGACTCCAGCCCCTCTCCCCCAGCTGAGAACCACCCTCTCCACCTCAAACCCGGCCCCTCTCTCCCCAGCCTGTCTGGCTCAGTTTGTATGCTAGCAAAGGCCCTGTCTGTCAGACAACCCAGGGCCCCAAGGGTCCACTGGACTCCCGCCTCCTCCTCACAGCCCCCCAGAACCAAACAACCCCATAGTCTTCCATCCACTGCCCCTCAGAGTTAGCCTCGCCCCAACCCCCCTTCATAACACATACACCTGGGTAGTCACCTCCCATGGCCACCTGCTCCTGACAGGCTCCACACTCTTGCCCTTCCTCTCTTCCTCTCCATAGCATCCAGGCTGGGAAACTTTCTTTGGGAATGAATTCCACAAATTTATCCCCCAGAAAAATAGTGTTTCTTTTTTTTTAATGTATTAATTTTGAGAGAGAGAAAGACAAATTTATCCCCCAGAAAAATAGTGTTTCTTTTTTTTTTATGTATTAATTTTGAGAGAGAGAAAGAGAGACATTGATGTGAGAGAGAAACACCGATTGGTTGCCTCCTGCACACGCCCAACCAGGGATTGAACCCACACCTGGTATGTGCCCTGACCGGTATTTGAACCTGCTATCCTTCAGTGCACGGGGCGACACTCACACCAACTGAGTCGCACCAGCCTGGGCAAAAGTTAATTTTTAAAAGTAGACACACAGAAATAACGTAGGAATAGGGCCACGTGTGATAGGACACGGGGATGGACTCAAGTTCATTGTTATCCTTCCATTTACTCATAAGTAGACGTGAATACAATGCAACCCCAGATTACAAAGGCAAAGGGTTAAAAGCTCAAGAATGTAAAATAGAGAAGGGAGACCACTGCATTACAACCACCAGGGTAAGAAAGCCTGGGAGCCCTGTGGGCTGGTGAGGGTCAGCTAGGGAGGACGGCCAGCCAGGCCCCACCAGGGCCACAGACACAAGAATCAAGCCAATGACAACAACAAGACGACAGCAAGAATTGCCCAGCAGGCTTGGACACCCTTGGGCAGAAAAAGAGGCCTCCTCTGCATCCGAAGTTCTGGCCTCCTGCCGCTTAGAGAAGAGAACTGTAATGCAAAACTGCCCCAAGCAACACCGAGTGCCCCAGGTCGGGCTGGGGAAGGCTGAGCCCAGAAACAAATACTCCACAGGCATTGACATCTCAGGGTCCAAACAAAAAGGCAGCGTCCTCACTGACCTCCCCAGAAGGCATGGGAGGGCCCCAGTTTGAGAACCCCGGCCCACAGGGTTCAAGGACAGAGTTCAAGGCCCTTCGCCTTCGACCTCACTGGCTGGTGGTGGTGCCGCTGGGCATTTTGTAATGCGGGAGCCTCCTGGCCTTGGGCTACTGTTTTCTATGCCAGGAACCCCCTCCCCTCCCAAGAGAGCCAGTTTCCCTTGGGGTTGGGGGCCCCTCCTCTCTGCACTGCAGCCCTGGTCTCTGCCATGGCCCTGCTCACCACGCAGGGGGCTGTGGTCGTGTGCCCCGTGCCCAGTGCCCCACTTCCAGGGTCCAGTGTGGGCCTGGGCAGCAGGCTGAGTGGGACAAGTGTGCCTTGGGGCGTCCAGAGGGCGAGGCAGCACAGGTATGACAGGGTTGGCCTGCAGCCTGGGGTGCGGGCTGGCTCACTCTCAAGGCTCCTTTGCTACACAGGTGGGTGGCGCAGAGCCACCCTGCCTGCTGCTTCTGCATCACCTAGAGGAGGTGAGATGCAAGGAGAGGAACCAGGACACGGTTTCCGTTCTCTGGGGCCCAGCTGGTTTGTGACATACGAGTGATTTCCTTCCCTGCCCTTCCTTTTTTCAACAAACTCCCGACTCTGTGATGGAGTCACATGGATATGAGCACAACAATCCCAGCCCTTGGGAGCCTGGGGCCTAGAGATAAAGAATGAAGAGGGGAGGGACGAGGGAGGGGCTGGGTGTCAAGGGATTCCTAACCCAAAGGGGGACCCAGAGGTGGCCCTGGGAATGCCAGGAGGACAATGCTGTGGCCCTGAGCTCTCCGGGGACCAACTGGGGAGACAGTCTCAGGAACCAGGCCGGCCCAGGCCCAGGCCCAGGCCCAGGCAGCGCAGGATGAGGCGGCGCTGAGCCGGGTGCAGGGATGTTCCAACGGGGGATGCTCAGGAGGGACTTGGGCATGAGTTTGTGCACGTCACCAAAGACCTGGGGTGAGTATGGGAGGACACTGAGCCTCCAGCCCCCAAAGCCACCTGCCTCCAACAGTCTGGCCAAACCTGGCTCCCGGAATGACGCCCCTCTGCACTGTGTTCACCAGCGGGCAGCCAGAGTGGCCGGAATGACAGTGCTGCCAGCTAACATCTGCCAGGGGCCCACAGGTGCCATCACTGCTTTGAGTACCCTTCCTGGATCACCTCTTTTCACCTCCCAACACCCTGCTGTCCCCGCTTTATACAGGTGGGGGCTGCAGCACAAGGGCCAACTAACTTGCCCAATGTCCCTCGACGGGGCTCGTGACTACTGGCCCCTGTGCAACGGAAACCCCACCCATCCTGCATCCGTCAGCGGCCCGAGTCAGCCTCTCTCGTGGCCCTGGTTTTCATTTCTGTGCCCCCTGCGCTGGCACAGCCCTCACCTGTGCTCCTGGGCCTTGCTGGAGGGTGGCATTCCACTTTGCCCCGAGACCTCTCTAATCCAAGCCCCACACCACCATTGAGGTCCAGCCCTCTGTCTTCTGTGGCTCTAGAACACTTTTGCTGGCACCTGGCTTGTAAACAGTCCATTTTTCCCCCCATTTAAAATATTGACTTTCCTCTAGTTTACTAGTTTTAACTCATAAGCTCAACTAACGCTTATTTGTAGGATTGTATTTTTCTAGGCCTGGACAAAATACTTGTTGAGTCCTGCTTGACTTCAGAAACCTCGTGGAGAAAAAAAAAGACAGCAATCCTCAGGAAAGGGAACCACATCACTGTTACAAAACTAAAGTGCATCACTGTTACAAAACTATTGTATTCATTGTCTAGAAATTTTCTACAAAAGGAGAATCTGCTTTCTTTTCTTCTGAAAAAGAACTGGAGTTTGTAAATGCATCCAGATCTTTTCATATAGATTATACACACACGTATATATACATAAATATATATAATTTGTGTATATATACATATGTAAATTTTATGGTAAAACATACACAACATACAATTGACCATTCTACCCATTTTTTAAGGGCAGTTTTGTGGCATTGTTGAGCAACCACCACTTTCACAGGCTTGACTTTCTCACCAGATTGCAAGCTCCCTGAGGTCAGGCAGCCCACCCCTGCCCTCTCAGGTGTTGACACTGCCTCTGCGTGTGATGGCAGAGGGAGGGGCTGGCTTCCTTCCACCACCAGTGGGTGGTGCGGGCTGAGATGTGCGGCCTGAGGTCGGGAACCTTGGAAGAGGAAGCTAAAACACCCCGTGGAACACAGTGGGCAGCAGAGAAAGGCTTTAAAGACAGGGGTGGCCTCAGGCGATATCTCAAAGGAATTCTCCAAAAGAGCTTGTGTGGAGGTTGATTGCTTTCAAAGTGGCATCTCTCTCTGTTTACCTCTTACAACTAAGCAGAAAGCACAGGCTGTTAGGCCGTGTGGCGGAGGAAGACTCAGGCTCAGGGCTGGTGAGCAGCCCCCCTCAGGTCACTAGGGACCAGACAGGATCTGCCGATGCCGTTGTTATCACAGCTCCACCTCGGGCGCAGGAAGAGTGAAATCTGACAACAGGCCGGACATAAGCATAAAGGCCAGGAGTGAGCGGGCGATGGCCTCAGAGCGCGGGCCCTCGGCCCTCTGCCCTCGGCCCTCGGGGTCTGCCTCGCCAAGTGGGAGCACAGCTCCACCCAAAGACCTGGCCCCAGGGAATGCCGTGCGGACGTGTGTCACTCAGGATGTAAGCCCGGCTGGGGGGGGGGGCGCTGGAGGGAGGAGTCCATCACCATCCCTGGGCCCCACCCTGCCAGGCCCTGCACTAAAGCCTCTCCCTACTGCACAGAGAGGCTGAGGGGCTCGGTCGCACAGCTGCAGGGGTGGGTCCCCTGTCCCGCACGTGTCCCGCCAAAGCTGCTGCGGCCCCGGCACCTCTTTCAGCAAAACCCCCCGAAATGCACCTGGGGGAGGAATGCACCTGGGGGAGGGCCGAGGGCGGCAGCAGGCATGGGTGCGGGCACTCGGGCAGAGACGCAGTCCTGCAAAGG